TTTTAGGTGCGAGTAGTCCAGTTTGGAAGCTCATATCTTGTAATCTATAAGAAATCAGAAAAAGTATAAAACACGAAAGTTGTAGCCTATACATTCTAGTTTTCGAAAGGTTAAACCATTCGTGATTTGGATATCATCTCAGAAAGTTACGATGGATCGAAAAGGGCTGCTGGAGCAATTTCAGCAGAATTTACGATGCACTTTAGAAGCTCATATCTCGGGATATATAAAGAGTTATATGGTGTACAACCTATCAAATTAAAGATCTTTGAGTCTAGTTTCTAAATTTACAAACCGTTTGTCATTTGGATATTTATAAAAGACGTTATAGGGTGTTTAAACAAAAGGTGTCTGACAAGGAATAATTTTAATAGGATGTACAACTTGTAANATCTCTTTATTTTCGCATTATCGGACTTTGGATATACCGTGTATTAGGATGATATTCTATATTCTAGAGGCTCAGATTCGTGACACCGGGTCCTAGTGAGATTATATTGTGTATTTTGTTAAAATCTTCAGTACTTTAATCTTGCTTAATTGATATTTCTTTCCGCTATTTTTGATAAATTGGGTTAAGTGTTGAATAATGGTCGGGCTTGCCTAGTAGTGTGCTGGGTGCCATCACGACCGGGATTTGGGTCGCGACAGGGTTGCACGCCGCAACAATTATAAATCGCTTGGGCTGAAGGAGCCCCTCCAGAGTCTACACACCCCCAGTGAGCGCAGTCGACTATTATTGTTATGGATCGGGTTGTACTCCATAGCGATATACGGATCGGGCTGCATGCCGCAGCGGTATATATATTTTTTGATTCGGTTATTGTGAGAAGTATATGAATTGAGAACTGAGGATAAGAATGAATAAATGAACTGAAATGCTTGAGGAGCTGATTTATACTGATTATATCTGTTTTACCTGGTTTAAAGAATTTCACATGATTTTCTCATTCATTGCTGCTTAAATGATTTTACTGTTTGATATAGAACTGCTTAGTGCCTTTACGTAAGTTCATACTATCAACCATTATTTATTGTTATTACTCACTGGGTCGGAGTACTCACATTACTCCCTGCACCATGTGTGCAGGCACAGGTATTCCTGAGGCATAGAGCGATCTTTACTGCCGTTCTGTCTTCATCGGAGTTATCGAGGTAGCTGCATAGTGTTCGCAGACCCGATTTCTCCTTCTATCTCCACTTATCATTCCGCATTTTAGACATATTTCTGTGTTAGATTGTTGAAACCTTGTATTAGAGGCTCAGACTTGTGACACCGGATCAGTGGGCTATTTTACAGAGATTTTTCGTGATTATGGTTTCCGCACATTTCATCTGTTAAATTCATACTTCTATTTATATTAAATTGGTATTAAATCCCGGAAATTGGTATTGAATTATAAAGAAAGAGATTGTGAGATGTTAGTTGGTCGGGCTTGCCTAGCATTGTGTTGGGCGCCATCACGGCCGGGGTTGGGGTCGTGACATAGTGGAAACTTGGTATCTAGCACAATTTACTGGAAGCAAATAATTAAATTTTCCTGTATATTACACTGGAGTTATATGTTGTTAAAACATGATATCCTTTATTTAATACTGGACTTGAATAATCTAAATTTTTTTATCCTAAATTCGTCAAATTTTGGTTACTCCCTATAAAATATGCTGGAAATGCTACATATGAAGGTATATAAGCCAATATATTATAATGGAGAAGTGGAAGATAGTGGAAACTTGGTATCTAGTACAATTTACTGGAAACAAATAATTAAATTTTCCTATATATTACACTTGAGTTATATGTTGTTAAAATATGATATCTTTTATTTAATACTGGACTTGAATAATCCAGATTTTTTTATCCTAAATTCGTCAAATTTTGGTTACTCCCTATAAAATATGCTGCAAATGCTACATATAAAGGTATATAAGCCAGTATATTATAATGGAGAAGTGGAACATAGTGGAAACTTGATATCTAGTACAATTTACTAGAAGTAAATAATTAAATATTTTGTTTCCTGTATATTACACTGGAGTTATACGTTGTTAAAACATCATATCCTATATTTAATACTGGACTTGAATAATCCAGATTCTTTTATCCTAAATTCATTCAATTTTGGTTACTCCCTATAAAATATGCTGCAAATGCTACTTATGAAGGGATATAAGCCAGTACATTATAATGCAGAATCGGAAAATATTGAAAATTTGGTATCTAGTACAATTTACTGGAATTAAATAATTAAATATTTTATTTCCTGTATATTACACTGGAGTTTTATGTTGTTAAAACATTATATTCTGTATTTAATACTGGACTTGAATATCCAGATTCTTTTATCCTAAATTCGTCCAATTTTGGTTACTCCCTATAAAATATGCTGCAAATGCTACTTATGAAGGGATATAAGCCAGTACATTATAATGGAGAATCGGAAAATATTGGAAACTTGGTATCTAAAATAATTTATTGGAATTAAATAATTAATTATTTTGTTTCCGGTATATTACACCGGTGTTATATGTTGTTAAAACATGATATCATGTATTTAATATTGGATTTGAATAATCCAGATTCTTTTATCCTTAATTCGTCAAATTTTGGTTACTCCCTATAAAATATGCTGGAAATGTTACTTATGAAGGGATATAAGCCAGTACATTATAATGGAGAATCGAAAAATATTGGAAACTTGGTATCTAGAACAATTTACTGGAATTAAATAATTAATTTTTTTGTTTCCTTAATATTACACTGGAGTTATATGTTGTTAAAACATGATATCCTTTATTTAATACTGTACTTGAATAATCCAGATTTTTTTATCCTAAATTCGTCCAATTTTGGTTACTCCCTATAAAATATGTTGGAAATGCTACTTAAGAAGGCATATAAGCCAGTATATTATAATAGAGAACTGAAAAATAGTGGAAACTTGGTATCTAGTACAATTTCCTGGAATTAAATAATTTAATCTTTTATTTCCTATATATGACACTGCAGTTATATATTTTTAAACCACTATGTACCATATTTAATACTGGACTTGAAAAATCCCGAATTTTTTATGCTAAATTTGACCAATATTTGTTACACCGTATAAAATATTCTTGAAATTCTACTTATGAAGGGATATAAGCCAGTATATTATAATGGAGAAGTGTAAAATAGTGCAAAATTGGTAATTAGAAAAATATACTGGAATTAAATAATTTAAAATTATGTTCCTGTATATTTTGTTGGAGCTATACGTTCCGAAATTATAATGTCCAGTATTTTATTCTGGAACTTCATAAACCAGATTTTTTTTTGTAGCAAATCAAGAAACAAAATAAATAGACAGTAATAATATTTTGAAAAACAAGAATACCAAATAAATTATTCGGGATTACAATCACTTTTTCATATCAGACAATGCACCCTTATTGTATATAATCAATCATTTTTTTCCTGTATTTTCTTACATAAGGATGAACTACAGCAGAATTTGTGCAATTTGTTTTGTTATGCCCATATTGTTTGCAGCGACCACATCTTGGTTCCTTCTTGTATTCTGTACCGGAAACATGTCGATTCTTCTGTCTTCTTCCTATCATTACTTTTGCATCTGGAGGCTTAGTGATTTCTGATTTAATAGTGTCTGGTATAACCCATGTTGATGATTCACCTACAGAATTTACTTGCCCTTCATATGTTTTCAACCAAAAGTCCCTTGAATAATAGGCTGAGCAAAAGGCCGATTTCTTTTGATATATACTGTCAATTGCAGCAATTGCATATTCACAGGGTATTTCATCTTGCTGAAATTGACAACAATCCCATGTTCTTTTGTCTAGATCAACAATAAATTCCATACCCCCTTCTTTGACATTGAATTTGAGTCGATCAACGAGCAATACTCTAAATGTAAAAGTTGGTTTAATATTTTCTTCCAATGTTGCTTCTGCCCAATTTGATATCTCATGGAATATTCCTTCTACAGTTGTCCTTTTTTCATAGAACCAGCTTTGCAACTTTTCTTGTATAAAATCCATCATTGTTAAAAGTGGCAATTCTCTTGCACGTCTCAAAACATTATTCATTGACTCAACAATATTTGTTGTTAACATATCATATCGTCTTCTCGGAACATGTGAATGAGCCCACCTTCCTGGTGGTTCCTCCATCAAATAATTGAATGTTTTCTTATCAACAACAGCAATTTGAGACATGAAGTCATCAAATTCTGATTGAAGGTATACTCTTGCAGCATTTTGAAAAAGGTTTAGTACAGTGTTTCTCACTCTTCTTTGCTTTAGATTCTTTTCTAAATGATATATGCAAATACCATGGTAGCACTCAGGGAAAACTTTTGCAATACCATTTGCAATGGCCTTGTGTCGATCTGACAAAAACATTAAATCCTTACGAATCCCAATTGCTTTCTTAATTCTCTGAAATACCATTCATATAATTCGTTATTCTCTGAATCCGCTACCCCAAATGCTATAGGGAAAATCTGCTTATTTGCATCTTTTGTAACAGTCACTAACAGAAAACCTCTATATTTATTTTTTAGAAATGTTCCATCAACTGCAATAAGTGGTCTACAATACTTCCACCTAGAAATTGATGCCCCATACATGAAAAACATGTAAACAAACCTATTCGATTGAAAAGTAAATACCTTTCAGTTATACCATATGACAAGCTAAATACTAATAACATACTAGACAACAAGCTTAAAGACAACAGACTTCCATTAAAATATACTGAAATCAAACACAACTCAAATATTATATACTGGATTAAAAATCATAATAAGAAAAGAAGATGAATAATCACTAAAAAAAGTAATGACAAATAAAATAAACTTCTAGGTTAAATAGAACTCATCCAATATAATATACTGGACAGAAAACTTAAACAAGGCAGACATCCCGTAAAATATACTGGAGGACATCCCGTAAAAGCTTACACAAGGCAGATATCCCGTAAAATATACTGGAGAGAAAGCTTACACAAGGCAAACATCCCGTAAAATATCCCGTATAACATACTGGAGGACAAACATTCACACGAGAATTCAGTATAATATACTGAACAAAATTTATTACTAAATTTTGAAGGTCACTATTTTATACACAAGCATAAGAAATTTACCTATTTTCTGCATCTCTTTGAATACTAGTATATGATCCTAGATTGTTTTGTTCGATCATATACAAATATGATGCCAACTGCTCATAATTCTGTTCAGTTGTTCCTCTTAATAAAGATTACCCTTTTTGAATAGCATGTCATGCTTTTCCATAACCAACATCTATTTCATGTGCTCTTTTCATTTCTGAAATGACAAACTTAGGCTTTACTTCAGTAGCTATATCCCTTAAGTTGTCAATCATATAATCTCTAATCACATTTGAAGTTGCTTGTCTTTGGTGTGATTTTCTAATATCAACCGAGCACTCATGTGTTCTCTGAAATTTAACTATTTAGAAAAGTGTTGATTCTTTAATTCTTGAACCTCGAACAGTCCAGCCACACTTTTCATCAGCACATACCAAAGAATATCTTGTGTTACTTGACCTCTTAACATAAAACTCAAAGTGCTCCTTTATAGCTGCTAAGCAAAAACATCTAATCATAGCATTTTTGTCTTGAAAAACTGACCCGAGTTTTACATCATCCAATTATTCATTTTCCTTTAGTATTATTGATGGGGATTCTTTTGCCTTTCCTTTTGCTTTCCTTTTTCTTCCTTCAATAGTGTCTAGTGATTCAATCTATTGATCTTCCACATGAATTACAATTTCATTTTCCATTGTAATGTCATAAATTGGCATCTTCTGCTCTTCTGCTACTTCAGATATCAGCATTACTTGCTCTTCCGGAACATATGTGTTTCTATGCAATAATTGTTGATTATTAATTTTCTTTATTGCACTACCTTCTGGTTGTTGATCTGGTATTTCTGATATTTCAACAACAAATTTGGAACCTTTATAGTATGGATCATTTTTTAAAAGCATCATACATAAGCTAAGATCTTCCTCTTTTGTCACTTGTATTCCCTTAGCAGTACCTAGGTTGATATTAAGCCATACTTTTGCTTCAAACTTGTTGTTGTTGAACTCCATAACTTCAAATATTTTACTCATGAATTCTTCAAACGAAGTCCCACCATTTATAAGGAGAAGCTTTGTTTTATGATCTAAGTACTTGTAATTTGCTGCCCATTTGCCATCAAATGCGATAAGCAAGAAATTTGTATGCATCCTGTATTTAATGAAACCAAATAATAAGCTGGAGTTATAATTCGAGCAAAGTATAGTAGATACAAATTATAAACTGTCTTACCCATCTCTATTACAATATACTGGCCTATATAGCTTAATAACTAGATTTTACAGTATAATTATCAGGAAGCAACTAAAATAAGAAATACAACAATAGTTAAATCAACAAACTTTGGGTAAAATATATGGTTTGTGAACATCCTGTATAAAATACTGGACATTATAATTCCGCAAGGTACATCTCCAGCAAAATATACAGGAACCCAAATAATTAAATATTTAGATGTTATACTGCAGTCAAACATACTTCTAGTATATTATACTGGAAGTGTCTAAGTTTTACATATTAATTTAATAAAGTCCAGCTAATTATACTGGCGTTATGTTCTGAAGGATTTTATATTATTTTATGTGGTTTTGAACAATGCAGATTTTAACAGTTACGATCTAAATTACAGAAAAGAAGATATTTAATACAATTAAGCATAGATTAACGCATTGAGAAAATGTGTCAAAATAACACAGATTAAAGCATTAATTGAGAGAACTTACTTCGATTTGCAGAAAATTCGAAGAATCAAAAAATTTTACTGAAAGAATTTTCTAGTTTGAATTACAAACAGAAGAATTGTAGAGAATCATAATTAAATCTGTGATGGTAGAAGATAGACTTAATTGAGAGAGCTTACTTCGATTTTCAGTTTAACGCCGGAATATTTTGGTAAAGAAGAATATAAGGTCAAGTAGCATAAATTTAATAAACATAGTGTGACGACCCGACCCGTCGTCTCGTGAGTTACCACCCTGTTTTCCCCATTTCCTATTTCTTTATGCTTCATTATCAGTGTTGGGTGTGAACGAGTTGATTTGGATTGGTTTTAGTAGGAAATGAGACACTTAGTCTCTTTAAGGAAGGTTTGTTTTGGAAAAGTCAATCGGACGTTGAATTATGTGTTAGAGGGCTCGGATTTGAATCCCAATGATTTGGTTAGCTTCGGGGAATGATTTGTAACTTAGGAGTGTGATCGGAAATAATTTTAGAGGTCCGGTGTAGAATTAGGCTTGAATTGGCGAAGTTAGTATTTTGGTGAATTCCGGTTGATAGGTGAGATTTTGATCCGAGAGTCGGAATGGAATTCCGAGAGTTTTTTAGCTTCGTTAGGTGATTTGGGATATGTGTGCAAAATTTCAGGTCATTCGGACATGGTTTGGTCGAGTTTTTGATCGAAAGTGTATTTCGGAAGTTTTTAGAAAATTAGGCTTGAATTCGATGAGTTTTGCGTAATTTGATGTTTTTTGAGGGGTTTTGATGATTGGAAGAGGTTTGAATAATGTTATGAATTATGTTTCCATGTTTGGTCGGGGTCCCATGAGGCTCAGATAAGTTTTGGAAGAGTTTTTGGAAGATTTTTGCCGTTTGAGCATAAGCATGTAATGATCCAAAGGTCCATTTTTAGTTCTAGAGATCGAAATTTTATTTTGAGATTTCCAGAATTTAAATAATGAATTATAGGAGTGATCGAGAAAGTTTGGTCTAATTTCATCAAGTCGCGATTGGGTTTTTGACACGAAACATGAGTTAATTGTTTAACGAGCGAAATGGATATCGCACTGAGCAAACCAGCTCCGAATTGAGTTTTGATTGAAGGACTATGTTCGTATCATTATTTATGACTCATAGGAACAAGAATCATCGAATTCCGAGTTCGTATGATGGAGTTAGAGCCATTTTAGTAAAAAGAAAAGTGTTGCAATCTCTTTGGCTGCTGCTGTATTTTTTTTAGCAGCGTGAACAGTAACCGCGCGGGTGAGCAGTGACCACACGCGTGAACAGTACTTCCGAAAAATTTTGGGCAGTGAGTTTATAAAACACTTCATCCATGATTTTGGGTCATTTTTCCTCCATGGTCGATCATTTTGAGAGCTTCTTGGTGGAGATTAAATAGGGATTCAAGTGGAGCGACTTAAGGTAAGTTTCTTGGACTTAGAACTCGTTTTTATTGTGAATTCCACCTAGAGATTCATGAAAT